TATCGTTTTACCACCACCTTGGCGAGGTTAAGTGGGAAGACCTAGGAAGAAAAGGATTCCATCAGTTGGGGAAGGCAATCGATGACAAAGATGTTCACAATTCAAAAGCTACAATCAAAATAGACAACATTGCCAAACGTCGTTTACAACTCCATCGAGAAATTAGGCACCATCTTCTAATCAGTCGGAGCGTCAACAATAATGACCAAAAGCATGTTCAACTTACAAACAACCCAAGCACACACGAAACAATTGTCCAATGTGAATGACAAACTTTGAAAACATTTTGGGTATCGTAGACGAAGACAATGGCTTCTTAGATAGTAAGAGTCTATTGTATCCACATTGCCCTTGATTTGAGCCTGAAACACTACTATTTCAATTAGAGTTTGACCCAGTCAATAGATGATATTATGATGTGTGACAAAGTCCCTCTCAAAATGTAAGCCTTAAAATAATATTGTGGAATCATCAATTGAGTTGTATATGTTTCTAATTTTTTTTATCATTATAACTAAAAAATAAATTCAAAAAACCTTTAATAGTGAAAAAAAAATTGTTTATTTAAGCCTAATTATATGATTGTAATTAAATCATCGTTGGAATATTTTAATTTAATGCTAAGTACATTTTTTTTCCATAAGGTTTCATTTGATTTTTTTTCTTTTTGCAATCAAAGTTTAATCCGAATGTCTTTGATTATGAGATATTTATTTAATTTAATGATACATGTATGAGAAAATTTTAAAAAGTCAAATATAATGAAATGAAAGATGTGTGATATCGTTGAATATAATGAATGCGGGATGCGGGGTCACGCAATACCATAGCTTAAGTGACACAATGTCTAAAAATCAGTCACTTATTACCTTAAAAACTAGATGCAATGACTAAAAATAGTCAGACAATGCCTTAGTCATGCAATGCAATGCTGGATGTTGGGTCACGTAATGCCTAATAATGCCTCATAAATAGTCATTGTATTCACTAAGTCTCCCCATATATAACAGCTGGTGATGCAATGCCTATTATAAGGTTATGCAATGCCTACTAAGGAGTCACGCAATACTTAATATCCAATTACACCACCTTATTTGAAGAGAAAATTATCATGAGAGAATTTTTGAAAAGAAGAAAAAAAAGTAAGGAACAAGAGGGACAGGAAAATCACCCACTTAAAACGTGGCTAACCAATTAAGATACTACACCTTAAATCTCATCAGATTGTTATAAAACCCACAATCTAGAATATAAAAACCTAACCTAAATTTCCTCTAAAATCTATCATCCATCTATTTAAATGTAAGTTCACTCGAGAAACTTAAAGCCTCCAGCATCAGCAAAATTAATGGTCGAAACTTCTCTAACTAACAAAGTTACTAGTAAATGCAAACAAAAAGGTTAATAGAGGATTTTTCTACTCTATCACCCAAGAAAAAGAGAAAATGGCTCTTGATTAACCAGCTGCAACAAAAGGTATTTCCATCAAACAAGGTAAGCCTTTAACCTCACAATTTAGGAATTAAGCACATGCTGATAGGCATAAGAGAATAGAAAATGCTAGTATATCATGCGAAAAAATTGTTGATTAAGGAAGCTTTAATCAAACCCTTTTGGTTAACGTTGACTTAGCTAGGTTCTTTGACAATCTTAAAATTAAGGGTCTCAATACCTTTCAAGATAGGTATTATTGCTCGACCCTTGTTGGAAAACTTTACTCCAACATAACCCTAAAGAAAGATGAGTTAGAAAATCTTAGTGAATTTATAAAAGATGGGTTGAATGTTTTCTTGTGTGGAAAAGAATTTAAAGTGACCGCCATTAATATTGAAAAGCTATTGAAAATAAAGTATCTAGTGGGAAAATTTACAATTTCCCTAAGCTATGGCCCGTCAGCCATGTGGGAGTCAGTCACAAGAAGAAAAGAAAATTACCCACTAAAAAGTTATGCTAGTCAATTGAAAAATGCTCAACTAAGGGCCTTCCATTATTTCTTGGCCTCCATATTGCATGGAAGGAATAGTAGTTTTAGCTATGTTAGTGCTTAGGATCTTTAGATGATGGAAGCTGTTATAAACGAAATCCTTTTGAATGTAGCAAATATATGATAGAAAGAATGAGAGGAACCTCCTGAGGATATAAGACCAATCTACCATATAAAAACATAATCTCCTCTCTAGTTAAGAAAAAAGGTGTTTGGAGCACTAAGTACAAAGCTAATTGGACCAAGAGCAAAGACTAGGTATAGTTAAAAAAGGGATAGATATTAGGTATAGCATAAGGCATATGAAGGTAAGACAATGATCAATATAGGATTTATCACTTTAAGTGAAAGTAAAAGGAATATCCTATTATAGCTTGCTAAGTAATAACTCATGGAAGCCTTAGGCTTAGGCAGTTTAAAATGTTGACAAATGGTTTGTCCACAATCTCAAGATGAGTTCAGTTATTGGGATCAAATACTAAAATGGCAAAGACTAAATTAAAGTAGAAACTGCACCATTCTCTAAGTCTCTTCAAGATATTAAATGATGAAGGGACATTAAGTACATTATGAGATTGCGTATTGATAGATTAAGTCAAATCATTATGACTAATCTTAATATTTGGGTAGTTATGATATATTGCTAGATACTAATCTTGAGTTATAAATATGAATTGATCAATTGAGAATTGATGATGAATGCATAGTAGTTTAATTCATCTATTTCTAGTTTGACTTGTATTACAATTTCTATTTATTGTCAATATGTTAAGAACTTGATGGGTCACAAACATTAAAGAATGTCAATTGAGAATGTGGAAAAGGGCTTAATTAAGTTTGACTTAATTGAAAGAAGTTGATAACTTTAGGGATTTAATTAGATAGTTCAATTAGTCTTGGTAATTTTGCAATTAACATGAAGGTTAAGCAAAATCCACCGAGGTTTAAGATTAATTAATTACCTAAACTGTAAGGCTTATGCTATATTTTGAAGGGTATGACCAACAATACTAAACTACTAGAAATCATCCACAAAACCCTAAAAGCCTTGTGAGTAAAATTGTAAGGACTTTTTATTCATTAGAATCGACCTAGCTATCTTGTAACCTTGTGAGCCATCGATCATCACTTTCAACCAATTAGGGTATTGTTTTCTTCAATTTTTTTTAGTGTGACTCATGTATTATTGTTCGCTGATTGAGGTTTAAACAATGGTTGTTTGAAACACTATGGATTGGTTAAGGAGAAAACACCACGTGCATCACAATTAGCTTAAAGATTTGGTGTCATCATCATCAGTTGATGAACTTTGAAGTTCTTGGCTGTGTTTTGATTTCTTTCGATGAAAAGAAAGTATTGATTGCCTTCTTCTATATAGCACTAGACTTTGCAAGCATGAGTAACCTCATTCTCCATTAAAGTTATTCCCAATTGCCATTCTTATGGATCATCATCAAAGACTATATATACACTTGGATACCTTGTGGTTTGCTACCTTCAAGCTTGGTGTAAGATGATTAAATTGTGTTAGAACCTTATAATTTTGACTCCAAGGCTTTAATGTATTGCAACCTTTATCCTTTAATTAAGATTAGTCTATGATAAATGTCTTAAGTTTGATTCTGCCTCTATTTAGCTTGTATGACCTTGCTCTTCTCTTATTGCTCCTTGCTTGATCCTTTCCCCTTTATCTCTATCTCTCTTTTTTCACCCTTCTTTTTCCTAGTTTCTCTTTATTTCTTTTTTTTGTCAATAAAAAAGTCAACTTCAAAGAAGCAAAAAAAAGGTACATAGATTATAATTTTTATCGTGTTGTGTAAATCATGTTTTATGCTTCGAAAAATGTGAATAAGTCCAAACAAACTAGTTCATGATTATTGTGTAGGTAACCTTTAAAATTGCTTGAAGTTTGAAGCCATTTGCATATCCTTAATTTCATATGATAGGTTGATTAATCAGATGATATAGGAGAAAGTTAGATAGGTGAAATGCATATTTAAGCAAAGTTTGAGGACATATTTCTAATGCATAGTTAGCTATTATTTGATAAAATGAAAAATTAAGTATTGAATTTGTATTTTAAAACTGTTTGATATGTTGTTGAGAAATTAAGTGCTAAATATAATTACTATATTATTTGATAAATGTAAATGTTAAATGATAAAAACTATTTATTTTACATATTTACACTTATACCATTGTATTTTATAAACCTTTGGTAAAGTAAGATTATGATATTAGGTAATTTTTTTTGTATTCATCACATTAATTGTCAATTACTATATTTTATATAAAAATATTATTTATAAATAATAACTTAACTAATCATAAAAGAGTGTCCATCAAGACTCTTAGAATAACTCTATTTTGTATTGTTCCAAATAAAATAAAATTTTTAATGACATATTTTATTTCAATACTACTATTAAATAAAAGGTATAATATCTATAAAAAATATTTAAATTATTTAGAAAAAATCCAAATAAGTTTTTTTTATTACATTTAATTAAGGCTCTTCTTTTTTATTTTGAATCAAATATGTCTTTATACTTTTATTTTGAATCAACTAAATCCTATTATGATGGTTGATTTAATCAAAATATTATTTATTATTCGATGCCATGTGATATATAAATATGTCATAATTGATGATGATATAATTATGTTGACATATCATAATTGATGATATTGTAATATGTTATATTTTTCATCTTCCACGTTAATGTTACATCAGTGCAACATGAATGTATAATGATAAATAATATTTTGATTAATAATAATTAATCAATTATTAATTATGAAAAATTTATTTAACTTAAAATAAAATATAAGAGTTTGATTGAATATAATAAAAGTATAAATATTTATTTGAATTTTTTTGAAAGTTGAAACTTCTTCTGCCATTAAACCTAAATAAAATAAAGTAGGAGACCAAATCTCAACCGTTAAAATAGAAGGTACAACAGCCGTCCGATTTAGGGCATCCTGGTCATTCCCCATGCTTTAACTTGCCATCTTCGCTGCAACCAAAAGCCCTTCCAGTCTCCGCCTCCATCTACAGAGAGAGAGAGCGAGAATCATAAAAGTGGGAAAAAATGGTTCAACGGCTGACATACCGGACGCGCCACAGCTACGCTACCAAGTCCAACCAGCACCGTGTCGTCAAAACTCCTGGTAGATAGATACTTCAATAGTTGGTTTATGCAGTTATATATATGTATTTGTTTTTTTTTTTTTTAACTTTGCTTATTTGTGTGGGCATTGGTTGAAATTTAAGGTGGGAAACTTGTGTACCAGACCACCAAGAAGAGAGCTAGCGGACCCAAATGTCCTGTTACTGGCAAAAGAATCCAAGGGGTATGTTGTTTAATTTACTAAATATTTTCACTTTCTTTTTAAATAACCAATTAATTCAAGCTTATGAGCTCTTGCATTGCATCAACATTGAACTTTTCCTATATTTTCACGTGTATAAGGAATTCAAGCTTCTTTAGTTGAATTTACCTTTATTAATGTTGAAAAAGGTTAGGGAAGGGAAAAGAAAAAGAACGCTTCAGACACATAATAAGGTTTGAATTGTTGGGGTAGTTATATTTTGGAGGAACGAGCTTGGAATGTTGATAATATATTATGCTAATCAGTCGTCAAATACATGCAATGTAGCATTTTTATAAACAAGTTAGTTAAATGTATTGCTGGAAACAGTTCGGGCAGCTCTTTGTAGTTTGTTTTTGTTATATAAATTGCCCTATCTCTCATAGATGCAAAACACTTTGTGAATTTTGCTTACATACTGTAGAGGAAATACCGCATTGCCAATGCAATTTTATGTTTTGTTGGGGCATTTCTCCCCCATTATATTGTGTTTCTCCAAGATGGGGATGAAGTTTTGTTTGGGATTAAAACTGTACTTCATTTTGAATTTAACTTCTCGTGTTAGATTGCAATGTTGGCCTTCACCTGCTCGCTTCCTCCACAGGATTGAGTTTTATTTTGCTGTTTATTTTTCTTCTGTCTTGGGGAGAGGTCGAGTTTAATGTTGTTTGATAATTTTCAGATCGCACAAGTCATTTTGCCTTTGTTAACCTTAATTATTGTGCATAATATGTGCTGATTATGCTAGTTGACTGACTGCTTCATGTGGAAATAATCTTCCTGTTGTGCGACATTGCTCTATGTGCAGATTCCTCACTTGAGACCTGCCGAATACAAGAGGTCTAGGTTACCTAGGAATAGGAGAACTGTGAACCGTGCCTATGGTGGCGTGCTATCTGGTGGTGCAGTCAGGGAGAGGTGTGCTTATATCTATTTGCCAAAATTATTAATTTTGATATCCTATTCACATGGAAGTAACTGTTTTATACCTTTTGATACAATGACAGATATAACTTCAAATGTGAAGTGCTTGATACCGTTCTTTTGTAATATGCCAAAGAATAATTCTTGGAAATTCTAATGTTTCTATAGGATCATACGGGCCTTTTTGGTTGAAGAGCAGAAGATTGTGAAGAAGGTTTTGAAGATTCAGAAGACCAAGGAAAAGCACGCATCCAAGAGCTAAAAGATGAGACAGAAGCTTTTTCAATTTTACCTTGTTTCAATTAAATTTTGACTTGAAGAAATGATGATTGTGCGCATTATTATTGCGAGGTGTTTGTTTAAACGTGAATGAGCATTTAATTTTTTGTTGGAATATTTATCCTCTACTCTCTGGATCGCGCCAACTCTGGTGCCATACACTCATGCCCATCAAGGTAAGTTACTTGCATTCCATATTAATTAGTAACTAGTCTGATTGCTGTAATTGACTGAAATTACTGGAGGGGTGGCTTTCTTTGTCCTCTTTTTCTAGAGTTTGGGTTTTCTTTTGTCTTATATTTTGGTTGGAATGAAGTAAAGATAGCCAATTATGTTTGGTTGCTGGAATGGCTAAGAAATTCCCCCTTTATTCCCAAGGAATTTTGATTCTTTTGTTTGGTTGAGAAATAGTCCAAGGAATAGCTATTCCTATGGGATGGTTATTTTTCAAAATCCTTCAAAACTAAAGAATAGTTAATACCATCTTCTCTCATGGTATTAGCTATTTCATAGTTTGAGAAATAAACTCAAAAAATCATAAAAATCAAAATACTCTGTCCAAGTTTGAAAATTTACAACTCTATTTATATAAAATATTATTTTTTTATTTCAACTTTTAATAAAATATTAATATTTTAACATATTAATATTAAATTATAAATAAAATATTAATATTTAAATTATAAATTATTAATAAAATAAATTATAAATTATTCCTGTTTAAAAAATAAATTAAAAATAAATAAGCATAATATCATTTAAATTATATATAAAATACTAATAAATAAATCATCAATTATTAATATTTTAAATAAATGATCAATTATTAATATTTAAAAATAAAATAAAAAGAAAGAAAATAAAAAGTTAATCATAATAATATTTAAATTAAATTAAATATTAATATTTAAATGGTCAATTATTAACATTTTAAATAAACTATCAATTATTAATATTTAAAAAATAAAATAAAATAATTAATCATAATAATATTTAAATTAAAAAATATTAATATTTTAAAATATTAATATTTGAAAATAAAATAAAATAAAATAATTGATCATAATAATATTTAAATTAAATAAAATATTAATATTTTAAAATATTAATGATTAAATTATAAATAAAATATTTATATTTAAATGATTAATTATTAATATTTTAATTAAATTTTATATTATTAATATTTAAAAAATTTAATAAAAATAAATAATAATATAAATAATAAAAGGTGCTTTTATCTTTTTATTTTCTATTATTTTTTTATTTTAAAATTATTGTTACCAACCAAACACTGCAATAAATCATAATAACTATTTTTGTCCTATTCCATTTATCGTACCAAACAAAGTAATAATTATTTTATTTTATTATCACTTTATTCTATTTTTTCATAATAATTATTTTATTTCCTTTTTACCTGTTCCACCAACCAAACGTAACCTTAAGCTTAAGGTATTAGTAAGAAATAGGATTGACTCCTAATTAACAATACATAGAACAGGGGCAATGCAGAAGTAGCTGTAGAAAAAAACATATTGCCAACAGGCTTTATTCCTAGTGTAAACAAAGGTCCAAACAAGAAAGAGGAATAATTCCTCAAATTTATTTTAATTCACCAAGCTTCAAATTTGCAACTTCGATGGGTTATCAAGATTGTGAAGTGGAAGTTTTGAGGGCATTTTGTCTAACAAATTGAAGCAGTGCCAAAAGCTTCTCAAGAGGAGGGGTTGTTTCTTTCATCACAGGCACCTCGTTCAAATTTGTCACCCATGAGTATATAAACGGATGCCTTTCCCGATCTAGAATTTTTACGCCAGCGACTTCCTCTTGAGCTTTGTAGGGGCCAAATGTTGCACAAACTAGAATGTCCAAGAGCCCTAAGTTGTCATTTCGGATTCCTTGAATGTCCTCAGGGTAAAATTCTTTTATCGTTTCTTCGAATACATCCATTTGTCGAAGCAATTCAACTGTGGGTTTCTCTTGTGCTTCTGCATTGCTTGTGATAATCCGACCAATGGCCTCAAACAGCTGCATGCATAAAACGATTGGTGCAAATCTTAGTCATCGACAGTTTGACATCATATATGTCATTGCTCTTGTAATGAGGACAGTTCGGTTCCTTATTCTATTGCCAGTCTTCTTAATTTTTCTCTAGAACGTTAGAATTCACAAAGTCCATGGTTCTGTTATGCGCTAAACTATAACAAAGGCATTACAGCTGATCGTTTCTATCCTTCCTTTGTAGACATCTCTTGGTCAATAATACTCGACGATCAATTATTTTGAAAGGAAAAGAAAATAAAACAAAATAAAAGGAAACGTGGCATAGGGATATCAGGTTTTTAAGAAGCATCATTATTCTTTTACCTGTTGCTGAATAAAACTTGCCCAGAATCGAACTTGAGCTCTCTGATACGGATCATCAGGGAGGAGCCGAGGAGCAACTTTCCAGGTTTCGTCAATAAATGCCCGGATGACAGAGGACTCAGCTATAGGGTTTCCCTTGTGGACAAGTACGGGGACCTTCTTGTGAACTGGATTGTGTCGCAGAAGAGCTGGCTCTTATTGCTCAAGTCTTCTTCTATATACTCATAGGGTATTCCCTTAACTCTTAAGGCCACTTCCACTCTCTTAACATATGTACTAGCCCACATCCCAAGCAATTTCACTTCCTTTTCTTCCTCCATCTCTGTATCTCCCCCTTCTTCTTGTTGCTATTTCTTGGATTTTCTGTTTATGGTGGATCCTTTAATAAATAGGATGTTTAAAGCGTCCTCGCACTTTTCAGATGGTCCAAGTTTACAAATAAATATAGAGTTTGACTTTGGATTTAAACATCTAGCATATCCATGGGATGAATTCTTCTTTCCTTCTTGGAATTGCTAATATTTTTTGACGTGAATTTTATAACTTCAAGCCCAAGGCTATTGACCAGTCCAATGTCCTGGTTGGCACGAAAGCTATGAATTAGAGCCCTATTATGTTTATCTTAAATATCATTAGCATTAGCCATTATTTCAGAGTTTGAAATTTGAAGGCAAAAGTGAAATCTGGGGACTATCTACATGCACATTTCCATTTCTTTCTGTAAGTTTTGCTTCGTAGTCAGTTGAAGCCTTCTCTTATCTTTGAATTATTTTAACCGACTATCTGTGTCTCCATTAGAGAAGCAGATCATTTTGTTTGCCAGAATTGAAGCTCAAAGTTTCTGGCTAAAATTAGCATGGAAAACCCACAGTTGATCTATTGTCAAAATCAATGTAAAAATAAAAAATCCGGTTTAGCTTCGTAAGAAAATTTATTATTGAAACCAAGATTTTGGTACACATGTAGAGGTGAAAGCTCTCTGTGAAAGAAGCTAGCAAAAGGTGGCTTAAGTTTGATTTGGCGCAGCCGATCATATAGCACACATATCAAGGCCTCAAAGGCAAACACCAAATCATACTAAGTTGAAGAATACTTGATAGCATTCTCTCTGATAAACTTAAGAAATGCCACCAACTTGTCATGAGGAGGAGTCAACTCTTTCACCAGAGGCAGCTGGTTTATAGCTGTCGCCCAAGAGAACAGTAACGTAGCCTTTTCTGGATCTATGATCGTTATGCCAAGAACTTCTTCTCGAACTTCGTGGAGTCCAAACGATGTGATAAATACAAGGTCAAGGAGTCTCACATTTTCACTATCAATGGATGGATTTCCATCTGGCAAAAACTCCTTCATTCCCTCTTCCAACACCTCTAATTTCTCACACGGTTCCTTGATGGCTTTCTCTTGTGCTTTTCCGCCAGTTTTGATCACTGTGATCATTGTCTGAAGCAACTGCATTCAAGACAAATTCCTAGTATTAGCTTCATTTTCCATAGCATCGTATCATTATTGTCTTATATTATGTATGCAATGAAAATCATGTAAAACAGAGCAACTCTGTTCGGTATAGTGGGTGAAGCATAAATATTGCTGGATAAAGCTTGTCCAGAAGCGAACTCTGGCTCGTTCGTAAGGATCCTCAGGAAGGAGTTTAGGGCTATTCTTCTAGGTTTCATCAATATATTCCAGGATGATGAGAGATTCAGCAATTGGCTTTCCATTATGAACAAGAACAAGAACCCTTTTGTAAACAGGATTGTACTGGAGGAGCTGTGCGGTTTTGTTCCTCAAATCTTCTCCGATGTACGAGGGGGAGCTATATAAATTTTAATGAGGAGACTAAGACAAAGGAACATAAGAGAATATTTTAAATTTAATCAATAATTAAAAGATTTATAATAGATAATAATTTTATAAAATATGCAAATGAAAAGGTATAAGAAAAAAAATACTTACAATAGTCTTTGAGGAAAATTATGCTTTCCAATATTTTCTAAATTCATATTTATCAATTATTGATTTTGTAATGAAAAAGTTAACAATGTTTTTATCAATATAGATAACTAAATTATCTATAAGGAATTCATCATTTAGTTAATTAGCAGTAACTCACCGAATCATAAAGGAGAATAACAATGTTATTGCTCCTGGCTTTTAGTGAAAAATTGAAATAACGGTTTAATGATGTGAATTTGATGAGTTAGGCAAGTGTTTATCATTGGATAATAAGCAAGTTAATTGATCTCTTAATGAACCCGTACGTTTCTGTTTTGGCTCTTTTGATGTTGTTAATGTTATTATTGTTCATCCAAAAACCCCTTTGCCTTGTTCCTGACTGCAGTCTCGTACTCACTGACATCGAAGCTCAACCTCAAACCTCAAAGTTTCAGGCTAAATTTAGCCTGGAAAAATGACAGTTGATCTCTGTTCTTAACAAGTGCGCCTTTAGTTGAAATCAATATAAAAAGTAATATAAAAATTTTACTTCGCTTGCTAGCAAAAATTATTATTGAAACCAAGATTTAGTGGACAGGTAGAGGTGATTGTTGAGGAAATGGTTTCATCTTACTGTCAAGCTAGTCATAGACTGAGTGTAGCAGAACTGTGGATTGAAGGAGAAGGAGCAGGAGTGCCTTTTGTTGAAGATAATCAAATCGTTTTATATTTACCATTATTTGCCAATGTTTTACTTCATTTACCAAATTACCTTTAGAAGTTTTTCATTTTGTTTTTTCTATGCTGTGTTGTTTTGGTGGTAAAGCCGTTAGGCTTGGTTGGCTGTCCTGGGAATCCGTATTCCCTTGCAAAATGTTTCAGTGGTTTTGTGCAAATCAGCTGTCCTTAGCTGGTTTTGATACTGTGGCTATTTCTCTCTCATGTAACCACCTATAAGTACTATTTTTCCTCTTGTTTAATGGATATGCAGCACACCTTTTCTGTGCTCATCAAAATTTTCTCTCTCGATGAGCTTTTCCCTCAGCTTCTCTATTTTTTGTTCATCTGTTTTTTCCAGATTTCTCAGTTAATCAACAGTGAAAAAGAGAGCTCTCTGTAAAAAGAAGCTACAGGAAAAGAGGCTATATATTACCTAAAGTTCTATTTGATTAAACACACATGATAAGGCCTTAAAGGCAACATTTTGACAACAAAAGCAGGCAGACTTGGAACCATATTAATTGAAGATCAAGTCGAGGAAGAAACTTTGAGGGCATTTTCTCTGACAACCTTTAGCATGGCTACCAGCTTGTCATGAGGGGGGTATAGCTCTTTCACCAAAGGCAGCTCATTCAAGGCTTTCACCCAGCAGAATACCAATGGGTTCCTTTCTGGGTCTAATATTTTTACTCCAAAGGCTTCCTCATAAGCTTTGTAGGGACTGAATGTTGAACAAATCATAACGTCTAACAATCCTAAATTATCACAATCAACCCATGGAGAACCTGAACCTGGAAAGACTTCCTTCATTCCCTCTTCCAGCACCTTCATTTTCTCTCGTACTTCATCAATTGCTTTTGCTTGAATTTCGCCATCACATGTTACTACTCTGGTCATGGCCTCAAACAACTGCACTTTCAAAAGATATGGGTTATTTTCTAGATGTAGGGTTCTATATCAACGGCGTAAAGAAACAGTTCTGACAATTCTTTACCTGTTGTTGAATGAAACTTGTCCAGAAGCGAACTTTAGCTCTTTCCAATGGATCCTCAGGCAAGAGCTGAGGAGTGTTTTTCCAAGTTTCATCAATGTATTCTAAAATGATAAGGGAGTCAACGACTGGTTTTTTGTTGTGAACAAGTACTGGGATCTTCTTGTAAACAGGATTCAACTTGAGGAGCAGTTGACTCTTATTTCTCAGATCTTCTTCTATAAACTCATAGGGTACGCCTTTAATTCTAAGGGCCAGTTCCACCCTCTTAGAATAAGGATTAGCCCTTATCCCATGCAGCTTCACTATGTTTACCTCTTCCATATTCTCCCCCAATCACTTGCTCTTTTTTTTTTTTTTGTTTTCCCTCTATTTTGATCAAATTCCTGCTTGTAAAACTTACAAGTAGATACTAAAATGGCTTTTATCCTAGTTCCAGCTTCTCGACCTGCTGCTTTTCCATGGTCGTATACATGACTCTGAATCAGAAAATATTTTATTCAAGGTTTACAAGAGGTGTACCCTCGCTGATGTGTAGGCTAACTTTAGACAATTGACTCCAATTTTTTTCAGAGTATTTTGTGTATATAGACAATGCCATCCATTCTTTGTCTTCTTCTCTTCCAAATATATTCTTTTCTCTATATAAAAGTGATGGACCTAAATACCTTAATAATTTAACACATTATCAAATTTAATTATCGATTATCTTAAAATGCCAACTCCAAATCTGATTATTAAAATCCATTTAATTATTTATGCTAATAAATATATATCACTACATCTAAGTTGACATAGATCGATAACAAATTTTCTCACCTTTTCTTTTTTGTTTTTGTTTTCATTTGCTATAATAATCAATATCTCCTATTGAATTGTTATTGCTATATGATAAATATTATTATAAATAAATTAGATGAATTTATATTCTCAAAAATAAGAAAAAAATCTTTACTATTTTTAAGAACGACCAAAACTAGTTATATTTTCAAGTGTTGTAGGATATAATTTTTTAAAAGCAGAAATAAAATAAAAATAAACGATAATAATTTTAGAAGACATATTTGAGTTTTCAAAAATTTATGAAAACAAATCAAGTATTTGATTCAGATTGATAATTTCATAATTAAAAGATAATTTAGATTAACTTTTTTTCTAAAATAAAAAAATTATGAAAGTTTCATACAATACACGTTTTTTTATTTGATTTTTAATTATTGTTAACAATTAAACTCTATAAAGACTCCAATAGTATATAACATAAAAAAAAACAACATTTTCTTACAAAAATAGTATTGATTTTAATTCATGATGTAAAATCGAAACCGTAGCCGCGTTGGAAACTTGGTATGGACTTTGAGGATGAGACGGATTTCCTGTCTAGGGCGCAATTGCATTAGATGTAGGAGTACTA